TTAAATTCATAAATGTATTCAAATGTTAAATATTAGAGTTTTTGAATTTGTTAAGACTCTAATAGCTCTAATAAGTGATTTCATAAGAACCTGATGAGATCTAATGATACCTATTAGGATCTTATCATCTAGTTAGCAGTTTACCACATCATTTCATCCCATTTAAGATAATTATTATTAGTGTACCTCCTTAAGTAAATTAATTAAAGTTTGTAAACCTCAGTTTACTCATAGGTAAAGTAGGAGTTAATCAGTAACTGATTAAGTAACACTGAGTGAAACAAGGGTTCTCACCAAATCTATAGATTCTATTTGTAAGCTTGAAGCCAACCTAGTTTCGTTTCAGATCCTTTCAGTACTGTGGGAAGTAAGTTTTCATATCTGTACAGAAGAAATGTTATTCACTCAATAGGGACATTGACAGGAATCAAGACAATGTGTGGACCACAAATCAGTTCATGTGGCACATTCTTGGGTGATCCACACAAAGATTTAGGCCACTGGTAACATAACTACTATTAGCAGACTAACTGGAATGTATGCCTATATGGGCGAGCCATTGGGTGAGCAGGAAAGGATTGAAGTTATCATAGGCAACCTAACTTTTGTAGTCAAGAAATAGAAATTTGAAAGATACCAGTACTCTATTTCTCAGATAAAGTTTATTGGGGAAAGGGCTTGTTGAAAGAATTGGGGTGAAGAGGATGGGGCCTCATACCTGAGCACAGAAGAGGCAGCACTGGATGACTGTCAAAGCTGATGCAGAGTGAAACACAGGCAAAACTTTGAAGACCTGAAAGACTTCTAATTGAAAACAAACAGGAGGGCAGGGGGAGCAGGAATCTGTAGAAAAGTAACCATGCTTAATATAATTAATATCAAAGATAAGTCTTCCACAAAGCCTTATATAAATGTTTTAATATCTTTGTAAACAAATGAAAATTATGATACTACTGGCAACAAGGAGAAAGCTGGACCCTCTCAGGAGAGAAGAATCTTCAGCAGGAACAAAAGAGTATAGTGAGAATGTAAAAGAAGGACTAGAGAGAGCACAGATGGGTAAGGAGTAAACCCCGTGCACAGATGGATGTGGCCCAATCCTACCCTCCAAAAAAAAAAAAGAATGTGAATGGAAACTACCCAAAGAGCCAAGCCCATCCTCTTGACAATACCACCCTAATTATACCTTATTTGCACAGAAAACACTCAAGAGAAGGCAATTTGGAGAAATCCCATATTATATAACCTTATCCCAATAGCCAGTCAGGACTCTTAGCTCTACAGAAACCTGCATTTTCTCTCTTGAATGTATTGCCTTTCCTCTCTCTTCTTCTTTTCTTTGGACAAGGGGGTATTGAGTCACACCCAGTGGTGCTCAGGAGCTACTCCTGGCTCTGTGCACCTCAAGGGACTCTTCTGGAAGTGCTCAGGGGACTATATATGCTGCCACAGATTGAACTGAGATCATCCACCTGAAAACCGTGTGCTTAACCTTGGCTGGAGCGATAGCACAGTGGTAGGGCCTTTGCCTTGCGTGCAGCTGGCCTGGCTGAGCCGGGTTCGATTCCTCCGCCCCTTTCCGAGAGCCCAGCAAGCTACTGAGAGTATTTCGCATGCATGGCAAAGCCTGGCAATCTACTTGTGACATATTCAATATACCAAACACAGTAACAACAAGTCTCAAAAATGGAGATGTTACTGGGCCCACTCGAGCAAAGTCTATGAACAACAGGACAGTGTTTGTTTGTTATCCCTGTACTATCTCTCTAGCCCCTCCTCTTTCCTTTTAATTAAATATCTTTACTTCACTATTTGTCTCCTGGTAAAATCCTTTTACGGGGGGAATTGGTGGGGGAGTGAGGCGATAGAAAACAAACCTTGGAAATCTGGGTGGTCAGAACTGACTTCCCTGTTGTTGCAAAGAGCAAAACCTTGCCCTGCCTGAGACCACTGCTCCCCCAATTACTCAGGCAGTAGAGATCAGTTCCCATACTGTGTAGACCAAGTAGATCTCAGGTGCAATTTGATGGTGGCCTCCATGAAGCTTGTCAGACCCATGTCCATACCACATAAATATTTGTACAGATTTTAAAAGGCAATTTTTCAGTGAGATGGACATCTAGAGAAAAACACTAGAGAAAAGTCTGAAAGTCTAAAAGAGTCTGGAGTAAAGCGATAGCACTTTCTCTAGTGAGGCTGCTAAAGGCCTGTTCTCCCCATGTCTCCGAACACCAGCAGTATGTTGATGTAAAGATATCAAAATAAAACAGTATCAGAATAAGCTAGGATGAGAAGATTCTAAGGGTATTGGAAAAAGAAAGGGAACAGAACTCAGTCAAAACTCAATTCAGAGCTGGAGAGATAATACAGCAGGTAAGGCACTTGTCTTGCACGTAGCTGACCCAGGTTCAATTCCCAGCACTCTGTAAGGTCTCTCTCACCCTGCCAGGAGTGGCCATAAGACAAACACACAAACAGAAGAAACAACTCAAACGGATCAAAGAAAGAGGGAAAAAGATTTTCCAAGGAAATACAGGCCAACTGCATTTACTTTTAATAGTGGGTAGGGCATTTGCCTTGCACAAGGCCAACCCGAGTTTAATTCCTCCACCCCTCTCGGAGAGCCCAGTAAACTACCGAGAGTATTTCGCCCACACAGCAAAGCCTGGCAAGCTACCCGTGACATATTGGGTATGCCAAAAACAGTAACAACGAGTCTCACAATTCAGACGTTACTGGTGCCCACTCGAGCAAATGGATGAACAATGGGTGGACAGTGCTAATTAATACAAATTAATTCTTTGTAACAGGAATTAATTTTAAAACGTGGAACAACTACTCCATTGAAGCTAGGTGCCAACCCTTGTACAGAACCTGGGAGAGAGGGATCCTACAGCCCTTGATGTTTTCATTTCAGAGAGATGGCTCCCCAGTTCTTGAGAAAGACACTTAGGTATTTAAAAGTGGTAAGAGATTTTTTTAAATGACAGATATCTCAAAGAGGCAACGAAAAAGATTATAATAATAAGTCCTCTAATCTATCACTCTAAGAAAATGGAGGTAAGAGTCTATAGTTAGAAAGATACCTATCTAGAGTTTAGCCAAACTGAGTAGAAAGAACATGCACACCATCTTGATTAGAATCACGATTATGATCACAATCATCCTGTTGTTTGTTGCCTCGAGCAGGCCCCAGTAACGTCTCCTTCATCCTAGCCCTGAGATTTTTAAAAGTGCCATATTCGAGGCTCTTTCAGGGTTAGGAGAATGAAACCCACCAAGTGTTATTAGAATAACACCAATGAAGTGGAATTAGTGAGGGGTTAGCAGCAATTCTACGTTTTCCCAAGGTCCTGCTCTTACATGACATGCTGTGTGCCAACTTTTCTACTCTGTTTCTATAGCAAGTACTTCTGCCCAACAGGTGGAGACAGAATTTAACAAGTTGTTGCAGATACGGAAAAAAAAATAAATTGAATGTCTTGAAAATCACTGAGCTCCTATATCAATCACTTACATGGCCAACTGGCAACTAATTTAGGTTTAAAACATGTACTTTGCTGCTTATGACATAATATCTCAAGATGGGGTCATAGGGATAATATAGGGGTTAAGGCAATTGTCTTGCATACAGCTGACCCAGGTTCAATTCCTAGCCCTGCACATTCCTAGCCTCAAGCAACTTCAGGAGTGATTCCTGAGCACAGAACAGGAGTGAGGTCTGAGCACCACCAGATGTTGGCACCCCCCAAACAAAAACAAAACAACACCACAAGGATAGCTATTAAAATATTCTAAGAAGACAACAAGAGAGTTAGACACAAATTATGACCATTATATAAAAAATGGGAATAGTTCATCAAAAAAACTTTATGTTTGTTTAAACAAATCTATACTTAATACCTCTCATGAGCACAGTTCATTTAGGCAATATTTAGTTTGATGTTTAAGCTCCAACTTACTACACTTTAGTTAGGGAACAGTCTCCTAAGTTTTAAATTGGGTTGACTAGAAGTCTCCTGTGGAGTCAGTCTTGTCAACTGGTTTATTAGTTAATTAAGTGTCATTTCATGCCTTATATTTTAAATTCCAGGTACCCCAAAGGCTCCAAGATTCTCCTCTCTATCAGATATCTGCATAATTACTCTCATTTTAGAATACCTATTATTCAATGCACAATAGAACAGAACAATTAATTTGGACCACATGCAATTATGCTGAAAGGTCAGGTGCTACCCATAATAAAAGTCTAGTCAAAAGTGTGTTTGGGGAAAGCACTGATATGGTTATCCAAGAGACTTCAAGGGGCAGAAAATCTCTAAGTGCAATTAAATAGGCTGTAAAGTAATCACTTGTAATTTTTCATTTTTAAAGCAGCAGACTTTTGAAATGTTATGCAAAATGAAGACCAATCAAATTTGGGAGATTTACATCAAGCGATAACAAACTCCTACCCTACAGCAGAAAACATATTATTTGTTCTGAAATTTCTTGTGCAAGTTTCAAGTTATAAAGTACTTTCATGGAGTGGTTGTTACAAACCCCTCAAATATAGTTAATAATGAAAGTGCTAGCTTTATCCATCTTGAACCATATCGTCATAAAAATTACTGTTAGGATTATGGATGTGTGGATTATAAAGTATCCCCAGTACCCAAATGTCTATGAATTTATAATTCTGTGTTCTTCAATAATATTATGTTTGCCTGTTAAATGCAAATTTCTGAAGTAGATTTCACTCTGGAGGAAGTTCCAAGGATTCCTCTGTCACTGTTAAAGGCATATGTATCTTTTATAGCCCTAGACAGGTTTATAAAATGCTTGTTGTTTCCTCCATGTGGAGAATATTTTGCTGATAAAAGAATATATGGTGAAAGGACAATAAAAGGGAGAGAATATAATACTTGGCAACAAAATTATTTTCTCTACACTAACAACTAAAACACACACACACGTGAGCGCATACACTCAACACTTTACCTTAAGAATAAATAGAGTTCTTGCTTCAGCAGCATATATACTAGAATTGGAATGATACGGAGAAGATTAGCATGGCCCCTGCGCATGGATGATATGCAAATTCATAAAGCATTCCATATTTTTTGAAAAAGAATAAATAGGAATAAATATTTACAAGATGAGTTGGTGAAGTTATCTTCACTTGTTTATTTCATAGCAGCAAATTATAATCCACCTGTAAATTTAGACTTTATTCAAAGGTTGTATTTAAGCAAACACATACTATCCAATATAGTAGTGATTGTAGAAGACAGAAGTAAGATTAAGGCATAGTCATTACTGCTAAAAGGAAATAGGTCATGATTTTCCTTTAGGATGGAAATACCAAGAGAACATTCGCATCCCAGGAAAAAAACTGCATTCTGAAATTAAATCGATCTCAGTTTCAATCGTTGGCTAATGTAACAAGCTCTATAACTTTTGGTAAATTTCTCATGCTCTGTGTGACTTGATTTTCACATCTGCAAATGATCATTTAACTATTAATAATGACCAATTACTTTCAATTGCTAGTGGCAGGATCTGTCTGTCTGTCCTCCTGTTGTTCATTGATTTGCTCGAGCGGGCCCAGTAACATCTCCATTTTGAGACTTGTTGTTACTGTGTTTGGCATATTGAATACATCACAGGTAACTTGCCAGGCTTTGCCATGAGGGTGAGATACTCTCGGTAGCTTGCTGGGCTCTCCAAAAGGGGCAGAGGAATCGAACCCAGCTCAGCTGGACTGGCTGCGCACAAGGCAAACGCCCTACCACTGTGCTATCTCTCCAAGTAGCTTATACAAAAGAAATATTTATTTGTCAATATAACCCAGGTGCCTAAGTAGAATTGAACTGAAAATCTTCTCAATGTTGGAATTCAGAAATCCATGTTATTGTCATAATTAGTACATTTTCATCAAGACAACACACCTTCGTTTTGTTTCTCAACCTTATTTGTGTGTCAAGCTCCTCTTATATGGAAGCAAAGAGAAGATCCTTTCTAAAAATGATAAAACTAGGTACTAATTAAATTTATTTAGAAGGGACTCTACGCAAATAGATTAAAAGTCGTCCTTTCTTAGGTTCTGGTACAAACATCTTTTGCTATAAATTAAAAACTCTGTGAGAGTTGACAACTTTAGTTCTTTATCCTATGTTTACTTACTATGTAGGGCCCAAATAAGTGGTGTGTGTGTGTGTGTGTGTGTGTGTGTGTGTGTGTGTGTGTGTGTGTGTGTGTTTAACAGAGAGAAACTCTGGCCATCTCAAACAGACAAAAACTGGTTTTCACAGTTCACTATCTAGTTTTACAATCTTACCTCATTAGCACAGTGGTCAAGATCTCATTAAAGTTCTTGCCCTTAAAGTTTACTTTCTCTACCTCTATCGCTTCACTCACTTGATCTTATTTTAAGGTATGCTGCACATCCTGCCATCTCCAACTTTAATTTATGCATTTCTTTCTCCTTGGAGTAGTTTCCCCTCCATTTCTTCATTTTGAAAGCCTTTCCTAGTCATTGGTGTCCAATTCAGATACACTCTCCACTAGGAAGTTTTCTCTGGTGCACCTGTTCCCAAGTTATTTGAACAGTTTTGTTTAATACCTATAATATCCCAACTCTATGAGACAAAATGCTGTATAAGACATGCTTCTTCCTTTGAGGAACTCCCAGTTTAATGTAACAGATTTATCTATTATAGTATGATAGAATCTATCAGCTATGTGTACAGAGGACAAAAGATCCAACCCAAGCAGAGTGGGGAGCATGAGGGAACGGTTTCTGAAAGACTATCTTTTTAAAATTTTATTTTCATAAAGTTGTTCACAATAATGGATTACATTCAGTATTTTAACTCCAGTTCCAACACCATTAGACCTTCCCACCACCATTATTTTGAATTTTCCACCACCACTCAAACCTGCAGAACAGGCAGATGCAAGATAATTTATTTTGTATTGTTATGAATAGCATAAGATGTTGCTCAGCCATGCACTCCTAGAATTCTAAAATTTTAGATAATTAGGGTCTGGAGAAATCTCTGCAGTAAGCTGCTTGGTTCTGAGTTTCTTTTTTGTGTCTCTAGATCATGGCTGTTAATTAACTTAAATAGCAGCCGGAGGCAGCTCGTGGGTGTGACATCCAGGGCCCCATTGGGGTGGGGAGATGAGAGGCGACCTTCTTGCAACTATGACTTGCCTTCCACAATGCACTGCAGCACTGTCCTCCTGTTTTTCATCGATTTGCTCGAGCAGGCACCAGTAACGTCACCATTGTGAGACTTGTTGTTACAGTTTTCAGCATATCGAATATGCCCCGGGGAGATTGCCAGCTCTGCCATGCAGGCAGGATACTCTTGGTAGATTGTCGGGCTCTCTGAGAGAGATGGAGGAATCGAACCTGAACGCTCTAAAGCAAACGCTCTACCCACTGTGCTGTCCACAATGCAATGGTCATATTTTCTAAGAAAAATTCATTAAGTATATACAGTGATACCAGATGGGCTGGAGCGATAGCACAGCGGTAGGGCGTTTGCCTTGCACGCAGCCAACATGGCCGACCCGAGTTCGATTCCTCCGCCCCTCTCGGAGAGCCCGGCAAGCTACCGAGAGTATCTCGCCCACATGGCAGAGCCTGGCAAGCTCCCTGTGACGTGTTCAATATGCCAGACACAGTAACAACAAAGTCTCCAATGGAGACGTTACTGGGCCCGCTCGAGCAAATCGATGAACAACGGGAGGGCCTTTACCTTACCTTTTAGTGATACCAGATGTTTACATGTAATAAATCTACTTCTAACATTTCTAGCAATGTCATTCTGTATGAGCACAGTAAGAGATATAAACTTAGTTTGGTTCTTCCTGAGAACATCTCACTATACATTCCGCAGTCCTCAGGCCAGGTTAATCTTCCTAGCTCCAGTAGGGTCCTAGTCTCGTCGTTACTTACTTTTGGATCATGACAGCATTTGTCCATGATCATGCCCTCAACTTATAGTTGAGTATCATGGCGCTTTGGCCTGGCCGATTTTGATGCCAGGGTAGCTCACAGCTTGCCCTGGGTCCATTCAGTCCCTTGTCAGGACCCTGCTTTTGGGGTGCTAGGAGCTAAGGGCAACTGAGTCAAGAAATCAGATGCCCAGGAGTTAATATTATTCAGAGTCAATCAACTCCCAAGCTACAAAGCATAATATTAACTGTCCTCCTGTGTCCACACAGAAAGGACATTGCTTACAAGTTCAGTGTCCTTAGATGGATGTGACCTAATAAACCTAAGCTACCTGAGGAAGGACAAAACAGTGTTATCCTACATTTACATGCCTGGCTTTTTTCATTAAAATATTAGTAACAGGGAGCTGGAGAGACAGCACAGTGGGTAGGGCATTTGCCTTGCACACAGCTGTCCCGAGTTCAATTCCCAGCATCCAATATGGTCCCCTGAGCATGGCCAGGAGTAACTCCTGAGTGCAGAGCCAGGAGTAACCCCTGTGCATCGCCGGGTGTGACCCAAAAAGCAATATATATATATGTATATATATATATATATATAACAACATAAATAATAATTTTAACAATAACTTGGTTATCGTACTTGTCATTTGCCACTCAGTATATTAACTGCTTTCCATAGACATTTACTATTCATAGCTGCATTTCTATGAAGAAATGTTAAGGGCCATGTTAAGGGCCACCACTAGAGTTTTATCTTCTAAGTTATAGGTTGACCTAATCAGAGAAACCTTTTACTTAAGACATTGATTGGCTCAGAAGCTTCCAAACCGTTGCTGAGGATATTCCATCATTGATGTAGAAGACCATCTCGGCTTTATTTTCTTGGTAAATTCCTACTCATTTTTCAAAGTGGGGCTCAAATTTCTCCTTCTGTGATTTCTTCACTGACCTTTCTCACACACTGTTCATTTCTTCCCCTTTGTACTTACACCCTTCTGATTCCCACACCCTTCTCCATACTGGCACTTCCTGTAAGGAGTTAGGTGTATTTATTCTATGCATAGAAACATGATTTGCTTGAAGAACCCACATCTCTTTTCTCTCTTTATTTCCACTATTAATTTAAGTGTTTAGTGTATTTATATTTAGTGAGCAAATGAATGGATAAGTAAATGACCTTAAAAGACTCAATTGGATACAATTCCCTATAATATTTAGCAGCAATAAATATGCTCCCAGATACGTGTCATTTCCTATTAATTTCTTAGAAATCCTTGGGTCACTTTTACTCGTCTGTTATTCACAACTACTTTCACTGGACTCCCCAGCACTCTATTTTTTTATTTTTCTATTATCTTTGAAACTATATCACAATGGTCAGTAAATTCCTGATGAGGTTTATAATTAATTTTTTCCCCAATTTCGGTAAGAACTTCATTGAAGTGAAAGAAAAACTAAAACTGGTTTCTCCTGAATCCCTCTACTAACTTCCTCAGAAAAATGTTAAGAGACTCTGTGTCAACTGCCTCATTTAACCAACTTAGAGGATGAGATGTCAGAATCATGGGCTTTTATCTGTGTCTCATTGTTAGTCTTCCTGAGTGTGGAGGAGAATATCTGGATTATTCCGAATGAAAGACAGTGAAGTAGATGTCTCTGACACATGAATCCACCGTATCGGAGTTTCTTAGCAATGATAATCCTGTCACAGCTGTTAGAATTTATTCCTTTATCCATGTGACATTTTAACAGGAGACAAATCCAAGTTATTATAAACAGATATAAACCGTTCAGTCCAAAACAGCTCATATTTGCAACTTCATCCCACTGACAGGCCTTGTTTCAGATATTTGTAAACATTATTTTTGTGCATTCGATTTCCCCTATACACACACAAACACACACGCACACTAGATCTGTTTCAGGTTTTTATCCTATAAAATTTTAAACTGCCCATTTGAAATGTTTACTTAATTATGATGTGAGAAATGAAAATACACAGTCATTTAAATAGTTAAATGAGAGAGAAAAAGGAGGAAGGGTGGCTGTTCCGTGCTTAATTCTCTCAGTTCCAGTGACCTAAGTATCAAGCCAGAGAGGGAGCTATGGAAACTGAAGAATAAATTTAATAGCTATATGGGAAAGGCATTTTA